ATAGCACTTAGGGTAGAAAGAAAGAAAGAAAGATTTTTTGATACCACACCTAAGGATGGTGTCTCAGTGGACAGCACTACTGCCTGCCAGTGCCAGAGACCCAAGTTCGATTCCAACCTTGGCCCAAATCTTGATCTGTGTGGAGTTTGCACATTCTCCCCACGTCTGTTTGGGTTTCCTCTGGATGCTCTGGTTTCCTCCCATTGTCCAAAGATACGTAAATTGGGTGCATTGGCCATGCTAAAATTGCCTGGTAATGTCCACGGATGTGCAGGTTGGGTGGATTAGCCATGGTAAACGCAGGGATAGCGTGGTACCTTTCTTTGAGGGGTTGGTACAGACACAATGGGCCAAATGGCCTCTTTCTGTACTGTTGGGATTTTATGACAGGATTTCCCAGGATTCAGGAAAAGCCTGACACAGCTGAAGGGGCTCAGGATTGCATGGATCCAGCAGTGTTTGCAAGGGTGGTGCAGTGATAGTTTCCATACCCCTGGACCAAGAGGTTTGGGTTCAAGTCCCAACTGCTATAAAGGTGTACAATGACACCTCTGAACAGGTTGATTCAAAAATACTTTCCAGCACTGCTTGTGGACCAGGAGGAGTAGGAAGACATTTCCTCTGGGACCTCAAAACCTCCTTCTATCTAGTCGGACTATTATAGGTGGCTGCAAATTCACCCCCACCTTTCTTAAACAGTGTTCCTAAGCACCTCAAACTCTTCAAACCCACAATCCAAATCTTTGTTAGAGAGATAACACAGTGTGGAGCTGGAGGAACACAGCAGGCCAGGCAGCATCAGAGGAGCAGGAAAGTTGATGCTTCAGGTTCTGAAGAAGGGTCTCGACCCAAAACGTCAACTTTCCTGTTCCTCTGATGCTGCCTGGCCTGTTGCGCTCCTCCAGCTCCACACTGTGCTGCTCAGAGAGATGTTTTGTTTTCTTCTGACAGTTCTTTTGAAGTAGAGGAGGGAGTCACACAGTAGACTAGGTTGAAAGAAGAGGATGCTAGCCCTGGTGATGACTGGAGGCTCTGTCATTGCGGCTATACCCGTGAGTGCAGAGACACACAAGAAGCTGAAATTTTAAAGACTTGCATTTTTGTAGCGCCTTTCATGGCCTCAGAGCATCCCACACTTCTTCACAAACAAGGAGACTGTTGCAATGTAAGAAACACACAACAGTCAATTTACACATCATAAACTCCCACAGCAGCATTGAGGGATCAGATAACCTGATGTAGGTGCTGGTGGAGTAATTAATATTAGAGCCCTAGAGATGTACAGCAAGGAAACAGACCCTTAGGTCAAATCGTCCATGCCGACCAGATATCCTAAATTAATCTAGTCCCATTTGCCAGCATTTGGCCCATATCCCTCTAAACCCTTCCTATTCGTGTGCCCATCCCAGATGCCTTTTAAATGTTGTAATTGTACCAACCTCCACCGCATCTTTTGGCAGCTCATTCCATACACACACCACCCTCTGTGTGAAAAAGTTGCTCCTTAGGTCCCTTTTAAATCTTTCTCTTCTCACCTTAGACCTATGCCCTCTAGTTTTGGTCTCCCACACCCTGAGAAAAATATTGGTCAGGACTCCCTTGTCCCTCTTAAAAATAGCGCCACGCAATACTTTACGTTCAGCGGAAAGGGGAAGGGGCCTCTATTTGACATTCTAACTGAAAGATGCCATGTCTGACAGTGCAGCATTTCATTTGTAATTAATTTGGCACTCAAATCTCCACAGGTAGATTCTACCGCATAATCTTATGACTTAGCACGGACAGAACAAACTGGCTCAGAGGGCAAGACATGATCAGAGTCAATACAGTGTGGAGCTGGAGGAACATATCAGGTCAGGCAGCATCAGAGGAGCAGGAAAGTCAATGTTTCAGGTTTACACCTTTCATCAGTCCTGCTGTGTTCCTCCAGCTCCACACGGTGTTATCTCTGACTCCAGCATCTGCAGTTCTTGTTATCTCTTAAGACATGAGCGGAATTAGAGAAGGTGACAATGGGGCAAAATCATGGTCTTGAAAGGAAGATTTTCACCCAGAGCAGCAAAAATAAGAACAAGACAATCATAAAAGATAAAATCCAATTATATTTATTTTTTTTTTAAAAGCTTGTTGTACAAGACTTCAAGGATTTAAACCGGAACTGTTTACATACAATCTGTATGCATACCCTGCTATATGCAATGCTCAATACATTTCAGTACAAAATAACCCAGATTCAAAACATAAGGACACATACATGATACACTTTCACACTGTATGAATAGATCAAGCTATCTATGGAAAGGTTCATACTGTACTAGAAGTAACACGTTTTAAGTAATTATTCCATAAAGCTGAAGAGGTTCACACAGGCTTGAATGCCTACATGCAAGAAAACCTTGCCTGAGTGGCATTCAAGCTGTACTTCTTCTGCAGGTCCTCCAATATTTAAAATGCTGTTATTATTCCAGCTTTCTCATCTGTTCCCTTGTGCATTCCTATTTTCCAAATCTACCCCTCCATGCAGTTCCTCATTATCCATATAGACGGTGCAATGATTTTGTCTGTGATAAATATCGCACTCCATTCACTAAACTAGGTGTGAAGTCATGGCCACTGCAGACAAACCTTTTGGATAAATGACAATTCCTTTGACCGGCTACCACAAGCCAGGAGGTCAAGGCAGATTTTGAAGGCAAGGGCTACCTCAAGTGACACTACTCCCTCTGAGGAAGGACCCGAAACGTTAACTCTGATTTCTCTTCACAGACGCTGCCAGACCTGCTGAGCTTTTCCAGCAACTTTGTTTTTGTTGTTGACACCACTCCCTCAGTGGCTCAGTCTCTGAGTAACTATTACAAAGATCCTTCTCACAACCCGTGTTTGAGTATGCGATGTTATCGATGTAGCATGAGCAAAGGTTTTGGTGAAGGAGCCAAAAAAAGTCAGTGGGTTTGTGTGAATTCTGGCCAAAATGGAAAATGCTCAATGAATAAGGGCTAAAAGTGCAATTCATTCAACTCACATTAAGATTCCGAGCTTTGAAAATAAACAAAACCAGACCGGTGCCAATTCCACAAGGAGAGGCCTCCCCAACTCTGAAGGATGTTGATAAATTAAAAATGATATTAAAGAAATGAGGAGAGTTTGCTTATTCTGAATTATTTTTACTCCCTTTCAGGCCATGCACCACTATCTGTCCTCCACCAGGTACAATGAAGTGAGTGTCCAGAGTAGACCTCCTACCATCAGTGTTACTTTTACCAATGGCCACTGCTCTTTCTCCTTGCTCTATGACTCAAAGCCTTCACAACTGTAATGGGCTCCTGACACACAGCACTCTCTCCACATTCTAAAAACACACACAATCAGGGCAAGAGAATCTTGAGCAAACAGCAAGTGCACGATATGATATTTCAGCAGGGACAAGCACTCAGTCACCTGATGCCCCTTCACACATTAGGAAACATTTTATGCTTATATATCTCATTTATTCACAAGAGTGTTGGCTGTTCCAGGGAGTCAGACCCACGTACAAGCCTCAAGAATTAACTGGATCTAAGTATAGAGGCTTGTGGGGGAATGAAGCTCATCATTTCTCTCATCCAATTCTGCATCAACATCTGTTCTACTTTTCCCATTACCAAAACCTTTCTGAAACCGCTCATCGATGTGTTTTGTTTGTCTAAATGAAGGGATGACGGGTGGGGGGTGTTCCAGATGGTGCCTGTAAACTCCAGACCCAAAGCTGGCACCGAACCTGAATGCTGGAACGCCCATCTGAATCCAGAGAAAGAGCAGCCAACAAAATGGGCACAGACATTTAATGTCATTCTATCCATCCAGCGCTGCCACTTGCCACATTTACAGAGCACAGGCTGCACTATCATGTCTAACCTCACCTTTTATCATTTCAATCATTGATTAATGTTTGCCGAAATTTCATTTACTTTCGGGTCAGCATTCCTCTCCCCTGCCATCTCTGTGAATTGCATGTGGTGCTGTCTCTATCTGTGGGAAAGGAGTTACTTGTTCATCAAATGGAATCGGGCAGCTTCCTGTGTACTGTCCATCAAGCACTATGTTACAATAGGGGCATCCTTCTATGGCCCTTCAGTACAGCATTTTGCATCATTCCCTTTCCACTCCTACCTTGCACAAGCCAACTCATTCCACCCTGAACTTGACCCACCCCAATCCATTGCAACCTTACCACTTCCATTACTCCAAATTCTCACCTGATTACCAACAGAAAAGAAAGGATATTGTCACTTTCTTTTTAAAGTATAACAATTTGAGTACTTGACATGATAAAAATCTAAAATCCAAGTTTCAATATGATAATAATTAAAAAAAAAAGGTTTTTTTAAAAAAAAGAACTAAGTAGCCACTCAATAAAAATGTGGTAGTTTTTTTTTGTTTGCAAAATCTATTTTTACAGAACATAACATTGTAACATATCAAACTATGAGGGTATACAGTTATATTTATCTACGTTATAATCTCAAAGCCTTTGAAAGATATGAGTTTAGAAGCTAATGGCTGTGATGATATTCAGGGACCCATTACACGTTCCCCTGACCGCTATTTGGACAGAGTCACTAAAAGCTGTTTGCTTTAAATGGTTTAGCAATTCTGTTAAATTTAGCAGAGAAAGGAATGCCATGGGAATGTGGCAGACCTGCATCCGCCTTTGCTGCCAATATGGGCACCTAGGCCATGAGAATTAAGTAATAGCATGTAATTGAGTAATACAGAACTGCAGCACGAGCCACTAAGAGTACAATAGTTCCCCTATGTGCAAATGGCGACTAATCATTGCCACGGTGACAAAACTCCAAGCCTGGACATTCTTTGTACATTTTGATCTAGAACAGTACAAACAAATTTTAAAGCTCTGTTTGTATTAAATAGCCGGTAAGTGTTTGGTATCACTTCCATTTTGCTGATAAAATGTCACCACAACTATTTGATTAACAACATCCCCCCCTTCAGCCCCACCTTCCCCAATGTGTTGCTTTCAAATTTGAACCAAACAGACTCCAGTCATGTGCTATTACACACACAAATAAACACGAGTGGCCAGTCTCTTTGGTTCATTTTCATCTTCCTTTTGGCTGCTAAGAATATAATATTAATAATAATGGACCAAGAAATCATCCGATTTGCCATGCAAAATAGGATAAGCAGTGAAATCTTTGATCTTCTACTAGCAATTAACCCCATGAATACATGGAAGGTCAAAGAAATTGAAATAGTTCAAGAATATAGTTCATATAAAGTTCTGCTAGCCACCTTTTCTTTACTTAAATGACAAGCATATACCACTTTGGGGTGTCAGGGGAGTGTAAGAGTCATCAGGCAAACAAAAAAGCGCTACTTGAGGCAATCTGCCTCTGATCCAAGCAGAAAAGGTAACTTTTGTCTCGATTTTTATTTTTGTTTTCTTTCTTTCCTTCCTTCTTCCTCGAGTGCTTACAACCAAGTGAGGAAAGTCTCTTTCGGATTGAGGCTAGACTCCACATCGGGCAAGATGTCTGACCCGAAGGGCTCCTGCAGGCTTGGCATCAGATCCTCGCCTTCCAGAGTCCCCAGATCCACATTGGTTCCAGGCAGGGAGTCCAGGAAATCAGGGAAGCGACTGGGCTGATTTGCTGTCATAGCGGTCTGCCCCATGTCTCCTGCAGACAAAGCAAAGGGCTTAGATGGAGCTCCATCAAAATCTAACACTTCAAACAGTGGCACAACCATGACAACCCGAACAAGTCCACCTTAAGAAATAACAAACTTCTACCAAAGACCTGGGTCTGTGTAACATAAGAACTAGGAGCAGGAGTAGGCCATTTGGCCCATCCAGCCAGCTCCGCCATTCAGTAAGATCATGGTTGATCTTTTCATGGACTCAGCTCCACTTATTTGTTTGCTCACCTTTACCCTTAATTCCTTCACTGTTCAAAAATCTATCAATCTTTGCCTTAAAAACATTCAACGGAGCAGTCCCAACTGCTTCACTGGATAGGGAATTCCACAGATTTGTTGTGGGGCATGTTGGGATATCCTGAGGCTGGCGCAAAAGATTCGCTTCTTTCCAGCCTCTAACTTGTCCAATGATTCGGTTGATAAGTGGTCTGCCCAAATTGAAAGGTCTGTGGACCAAAACATGCAACTAATCAAACTAATCCCCATGCACTTCCACAACAGAAAATGACCTTAGGCCAACCTACTTACCATTGACTTTCACAGATCTCTACACAACATTTCCCATTGTATAGACTTTTAATGAGTTAAATCATTAAAAATGATAAGGATTCTGGTGCAAACTTTGGATTTGTAAGTACCTACCATGCCAAATACAATGTAACCACCTCAAATAGAGATATTCAGCCTATGTTAGAGTGACTTCTCTTTGAGCTTACATCAAGTTGCTTGGAGTTAGATTCATACATTATGGGAATTTCTAAATGTGTACTTTACAACAAATCTTAAACCAATTACACGATTAAGGCTCAGTGGTATTAATCTATCATACATCTGCAAAGTTCAGTATTATATAAGAAAGATAGAAAGACAATGAGGCTGAATTCACCTGTATCCATTTCTTCCACATGACCCAGAAAATCTTCAGGTGTTCTTCCTAATCCTAAGCCACTGTCTGCACTTGCCTGCCGTGAGTGATATGGTCCACTGTGTATGAATGCCAGCAGGGAATGGCGGTGATGGTGGCAGGGCGGGTGGGGAGGTGAGGGAGAAAGGGAACGCTGTTATTAACATGGCACTAAATCAAAGTCTCTGAAATAAAAGCAAGCTGGGTCTCGGCTAATTCAGGCATTCCTGTCGTGTAAATTGAAAGAAAGCTTACCTGCTGAGGAAGGGATCGGAGCCATTGTTTGTAATGGCATGCATCTCCTGTGTCATGGTCGGTGTAGAGACTGCATTCTGGGCTGTGGAGATGTTATCTGATTCAATTGGAATCTGATTGGGAATCTGATTGTACAGTGCCTTCTCCTGAAAGAAACACAAAGGCTGTAACCAAGTGCTTTCCCTAAAGAAAATAGAATGCCCCCTTACATAAGAACAAGCCACGCTTGCTACTTACAGATGTCTCAGTCAGACAGCTTAAAAAAGACAAAGATGACATGTCTTGAAATGGACAGACAAACGCACGCACATGCATAAACATCCCAAAGTTACAGTGCCACCAAACATTTTTAATCGCAGAGTTTCTAATCTTGTATGATGTTCCCTATCTCTTCGCTGTTCAGTATTAATAACCTGTGATTACGCCTCTGGTGGTACAGGGACTGATATTAAACTTTGCACCTGTTTGGAAAACTGATGGTGGGATTCAGCTATCTGTTCAACTCAACGGAAGTGATTTCTTTTTAAATCATTCGCAGGATGCGTGTGTCACTGGCAGGACTAGCATTTATTGCCCATCCCTAATTGCCCAGGGGGCAGTTAAAATTCAACCACATTGCTGTGGGACTGGAATCACGTGTAGGTCAGGATAGCAGTTTCCTTCCCTAGGGGATATGAGTGAAATAGATGGGTTTTTCCTGACAATCGACAATGGATTCATGGTCATTACTAGATTCTCAATTCCAGATATTTTATTGAATTCAAATTCCACCATCTGCCATGGTGGGATTTGAACGCAAGTCCCCAGAACATTATCTAGGTCTCTGGATTAACAGTCCAGCAATAATACCACTAGGCCATCACCTCTTTCTACTCTGTAGGGATCCTGTGATTCTATGAATGCAACTAGGCCATGGCCTCCCAATAATGCAGTCAGATTTTGGAGGGATCTGAGTACCTATTAGTTGCGGGCAATTTCTTTCCCCTTTTAGCCCAGGACAGAAGTTGGTGCAAATACAGAGCAGGTTGTTTTTACCTAAAGATTAGAAAGACAAGCTAAAATGTTTCAATTATGGGTCTGCGTTTGCCAATGCTGTGTAGACTGTGCCTGGCAATCACTTCACATGATCACCCATTGTCCAAGTGCCCATGCAAACAGCCATTTCCCACCCACCAATTATTAGAACATTCATAGCCATTACTCTGAAAATAATCAGACATTAAAAAAGACTTTATTTAACACCCCTTCTATATTGTTTCTCTGGGATGTTTTTGGCCATATCCTAAAGATTAACCTTTAGAATCAAGGAAGGGTGGCAACTGGTTGGCATTGTGGGTCTACCAGTCAGAACATGGGTTGCAGTGGTTCAAGATGGCAGCTCACCACTACCTTCTCCAGGGCAACTAAGGACGGGCAATAAATACTGGCCCAGCCAGCAATGCCCAGAGCTCACGAGTGAATAGAGGAAAAAATCTCTACACACAGCAGGCTATATCCATAACATCATGGAGGCAGACAGACTGGCAGCATATTTATGTTTTTCTTTCGGATTCCCTGTGTTTGCAGTTTCTTTACTTTCATGTTTGATTTACTGAATTTCTCACCAGCTTCCCTCCAAGTGATGACAGAGTTCAGAACAAACACAGCCATGTTTAAAAATGGCTACCTACATTCCAAAGTGGCCACTCGAGTGTACTTTAGCTGTAAAGCACATGGGCATGCCTTGGCACGGCAGAAGGTGATTGCCAAATTTCCAAAGAACAGTCATTTTGGGCTCCTAACCTTAGCTCTGTTTTTCTCTCTCCACAGATGCTGCCAGACCTGCTGAGTTTCTCCAACTCTTTCATTTAAGACAGAAAAAAGAAAACATTTTTTCCCTCTCAAAGATTATGAGTTTTTTGAGTTCCTCAAAAGGCAGTGGATGCAACAACTGTATATATTTTTAAGACAGAGGTAGATAGATTCTTGATAAAGGGGATGAAAGATTATTGGAAATGTGCAGGAATGTAGAGTTGAGATTAAAATCAAACCAGAGTCTTGTTAAATGGGGTAGCAGGCTTGAAGGGGCCGAGTGGCCGACTCTTGTTCCTTGTTCATATATTTGTTTATCTCGGTAAACACAACTTTGTTCTTCTGACTGACGTTCTTTGTATTACTGGTACTTTTGGTTCCGATTTGAGATTTCCAGTTTATTTCTGTTGTTTTTATTGATTTAAGATTGGATATTTTCTACGTCAGGGGGGATGAATCAGCACTCTCTGTGTCTGTGGCATGCTATGTCAGCTACATGCCTTGTATGTCACCAGAGATCCATAAACTGTGTAATCTTTCGGAGTCACCCCAAAAGGTGACACTCCCTACATAACATCGAGAATTGCATGCAGTTTGTGGAAGAAAGTGGAAGACATTGATACAGGGACTGTGATTCTAAGAATTACACTTTGAGACAGTTGACACAAAGAGGTGCCTGATGGAAAAGGAAGTAGGAAGCCTGCTGTCTGGAAAATCTGTGATTGCTGAGACATTGAATGAACTAATTGTAATCACAATTTTTTTTTAAGAAATGTATTTTTCAACCCGCTTTAAACACTTGAACTTTTTGGAAGAGGAACAGCCTACCAATTCCTTGGCTCTTCAGAAAGAAAGCTGGATCACTACCGAGACTTCTGCGGGAATTAGCTCCCACATCCGTGCAGCTATATCCCCCTCGGGAATACACAGGAACAGGACGAAGGGGTAGCTGTTGTTTAAGGCCTGCTCATACTTCAACCAAGGATCTCTATGTGGAAAACAAATAAAAAAAAGCCCCTCTCGCAAGCCTGAGCTCTGCTTCCTGCTGTCACAGTGAAACACCTTTCATCAGCATTTTCTTCTGGCAACCAGAATGAAGACAGCAGCAAAGATCCGAAATGGTGTTCTCTCCTTTCTTTAATCAGTCATACTCCTGTTTTAACCCATCGCCCCCACCCCCACACTCCTCTATCCATTCCACCAACTCCCCACCTATCCCCAGTAGGGGTTACAATATTGCAACATGCAGGCATGTCTAGCTGAAGCTATTTACCGTCAACTTTCCTGCTCCTCTGATGCTGCCTGGCCTGCTGTGTTCCTCCAGCTCCACACTGACTCTAGCATCGGCAGTTCTTACTATCTCTGAGCTTATAGATTTGCTGGATTTAACTAACTGGTCCACGTTGTCTGCCCAACGCTGACCATTAGAATCACGAAGAATCTCTCCTCTCAAATGAGCCCATTGCCATCCTATTTTACTGGCCATTTCACAACAGATTTGTTGAAGAAAGAGATGCTTAGATGTTCTATGATTCCCTGCTGGAATTGTGTACTGTGTGTATAGGTGCAGAGGTCATTGAGATAAGAAGAACTTATTTGATTTATATAGCAGCCTTCATGACTGTAAGAGATCCAAAAGCACTTTTGTAGTGTAGGGAATGCAGCAGCCAATTTGCACACACAAAGCTCACACAACAAGCAAGGAGATAAATGATCATATTGTTAATATAAAAGCTGCGGATGCTGGAAATGGGAAATAAATACAAAAGGCAGTACTCAAATAATCAGCAGGTCTAGCAGCTTCTGAGGAAAGATTAACAGAATTAACCCTTCAGACACCTTTCGTTACAACATTCTGGTCATTGACCTGAAACGTCAAAGTATCTCCACACAGATGGTCAAGGTCAGAAGTCACCAGGTTATGGTCCAACAGCTTTATTTGAAATCGCAAGCTTTCGAAGCACTGCCCCTTTGTCAGGTGGAGCGGTTGTGATTTCAAATAAACCCTGTTGGACTATAACCTGGTATCGTGTGACTTCTGACTTTGTCCACCCCAGTCCAACACCAGCACCTCCACATCACACAGATGGTGCCAGACATGTTAGGTATTTCCAAAGTTTTCTCTTTTTATTGTAAATGATCATGTTGCCTGGTTTGAGGGATAAGTTTTGGCCAGGACAGAGACTTTCTGAATCTTGTTTAAAATAACCCTGTGCCACTTCTTTGATGTGAACAAATGTATTCTGTAGTGTAAACTTGAGATAGCAGTCAAGGCCTGAGTTTGATGTCTTGTGCAAAGGTCAGAACCTCTGAGTACCGCACTGGTGTTTAATAATCAAGGATAAGGCACTGAGATTAAAGGCACAATCTCAGACCCAGAGATGGAAGAGCTACTACTGAGCCACAATTGACAGAAAAAAAACTTGCATTCGGATCGTACCTTCCACATTCTCAGGATATCCAAAGTGCTTGACAATCAATGAATCTGAATCATGGTCATTATGACTACATAGGCAAATGCAACAGCCAACATAGCAAGATCCAACAAATATTGAATGAGGCCAGATAGCAAGAACTGCAGATGCTGGAGTCAGACATAACCCAGTGTGGAGCTGGAGGGACACAGCAGGCCAGGCAGTGTCAGAGGAATAGGAAAGCTGACATTTCGGGTCAGGAATCTTCTTCAGAAAAAGGGTCCTGACCTGAAACATCAGCTTTCCTGCTCCTCTGATGCTGCCTGGCCTGCTGTGTTCCTCCAGCTCCACACTGGGTTATCTCTGAGGCCAGATACCTGTTGTGGTGGTGGCAGCAGTGGAAGGATAATTATTACGTAGAACATGAAATTCATCTCCTATTATTCTTTGAATATTGCCATAAGATCTTCCACAATTTTCTCAGCCTGAGACTGTTCACGGCCTACCATGCCTGTGGTGAAATATTCCATAACTGACTCCATATTTTGTTCCTGGGCCTAGATTTCTGATATGGGCCTTATTAGACAATTCTACACAACAGGACTGCTAAAATATGACATTTGCCGCAGAAAATTTGCAGATAGATCATCACAAACATAAGAACTCAATTCCATCAGACATACTCTCGCCCTAGAGGAAAGGAATTGTCATTTGTTGAATTGGATGCAAATAATGCTTTGACACTACTGAAAAAAAACAGCAGGGAGTTTTCTTGATGTCCTGGGCATCATTCCTCCTTCAATTAGAGCTGGCAAAAATAGACAAAGAAAGGGTCTCTGGACCCAAAACGTTGACTCTTGCTTTCTCTCCAGAGACACTGCCAGACCTGCTGAGTTTCTCCAGCAACTTCTGTTTCTGCTTCAGATTTCTAGTGCCTGTAG